AGGGAAAAGTAAAAAAGAAAAAAAAGTTCTGTTAAATGAGTTTCCACAGTTCTGTGCCACCCCCATGCTTAGGCCCTTCACTAAACTTTACCTTTTTAAAAAAATGTTATTTATTATTTCTAATTTGACCAGAGAGAGAAAGAGAGAAAGAGAAAGAGAGAGAGCAAGTCACCAGGCCCAAGATTCAAATCATGGATGGCCATGTGGGAGTCCAGTACCTTAACCGCCACATCACCTGCCAGCCCCAAACTTTTCTTTCTGTCTCTCTTTCTCTCTTTTTTTGAAAGAGAGATTTCTGCTATAGAACGCATGCGCTTACAGAAAGTGAGAAATCACCCCCCAGGGGTGATTGGCCATGCTGCAATCCCGTCTTCTCCATTCTCCTCTCGGGATTTTGGGCACGCATGCACACGCACCCTGTGTGAGTTTTAAGCTGCCAAGCCCAGGACTCCAACTGCAGACAACCACATGGGAGTCCAGCAAGGCGCCCAGCATTACACCATCTGCTGGTTCCCACCAGCCCCAAACCTTGTATCTCCTATTCCAAAGCTCTTAAATAGTGGATGCCAAGCCTTTTTGTCGTTGGTCTCTCCGAGTCAGTATCCCATCTTCTGCCACCTCACATCTCACAGTATTTCTCAACACTCCCATTCCACGGACCGCGTGTTTCTAAAATCCACCCACCACCCACCAACACCTTTCTGATGCCTCTAGGAAGCCATCATGGATGGCACCGAGATCGCGGTCTCCCCTCGGTCGCTGCACTCAGAGCTCATGTGCCCCATCTGCCTGGACATGCTGAAGAATACCATGACCACCAAGGAGTGCCTCCACCGATTCTGCTCCGACTGCATTGTCACAGCCCTGCGGAGCGGGTAACAGGAGGGGCGTGTTTGAGATGGGGCCCTCTCACTGGTCCTAGAGCAGCCTGGGACTGACCACTCAGGGCTTCCTTCTCCTACCCCAGGAACAAGGAGTGCCCTACCTGCCGCAAGAAACTGGTATCCAAGCGGTCCCTGCGGCCAGACCCCAACTTCGATGCCTTGATCTCTAAGATCTACCCCAGCCGGGAGGAATATGAGGCCCATCAGGACCGTGTGCTCATCCGTCTCAGCCGTCTGCACAACCAGCAGGCCCTGAGCTCCAGCATCGAGGAGGGACTGCGCATGCAGGCCATGCACAGGTGCAGGGGCGGGTGGGATGGGTCAGCCTCCTGGTACTGTCTTCACCGCCTGCTAGCTTCTAAGCTCTGCAGCCCAAGAGCCTGGTAGTCAGGATTGGGATCTGTTTCTGAAGCAACTGGTGCTGTTGCTGGGTTTTGTTTGTTTGTTTGTTTGTTTTTTAGAGGTTTTTGCTATAGGGCACGTGCACTCCTCCAGGGGGGATGGCCATGCAGCAGTCCTTTATCCTCCATTCTCCTCTTGGCATCTTGGGCACACAGGCGCATGTGCCTGGCGTGAGTTTAAGCCACTGGGTCCGGGACTCAAACCACGGTCAGCTACATAGGAGTCCAGCAACATACCCATTATGCCAACTGCTGGTCCCGATGCAGCTGTTCTTAAAAGGAAAAGCGTGCACACCCTGACTTTCTAGAGGTTAGGACAGTAGAATGACTTTGAACAAGCTCTGGATTTATCCTGTTGGGAATTGAGTCACCTAGGTCCCCGTCTCGCGGTCTTTAATGTATATCCGAGTTATCTATGAGTTATATTGTTAATAGAAATGCAGACTCTGAGGGCAGGCCAGTGGCATGGTGGCTAAGGCAACTGGCTCCCTCATAGCCAGCTGTGCAGTTCAAGTCCCAGAGTCAGCAGCTTGAAAAACATTGGACACATATGCAAACATACCCAAAATCCCTAGAGGAGAATGGAGGAGAAGGGGGGGGCGGGGTTTCTTGCCTTTTCTCTCTGTCTCCAGAGCATATGTGCCTTATAGCAAATTTAAAAAGAAGGATGCGGTTTCTCCCTCCGTAAGTCTGTAGTTGGGTCCAAGAGTCTGCATTCTACATGTTCCCAGGTATTGCCCGTGCCATGGTTTATGGCCACACTTTTGAGAGGCAAAAGCGCCTGATCTCAGACAAATGATCTAACCTCCCTAAGGCTCAGTTTCTCCAGCCATAAAATAGCGGTAATACAATTACCTGTGTCATAGGATGTGTTGTATTCGGTGAGGAAACCAGTGCAGAATACTTAGGGGGCTTGGCATGTGATTGGTGATTAATAAATACTAGGTGTCATCATTAAGATCCCCCCCATGCTCTGAAGTTAAAACTCTAAGCCCCTTATCTTTGGTACTTTCTAACCTTAACTCCTTGCTTCTGCAGGGCCCAGCGTGTGAGGCGGCCGATGCCCGGGTCAGATCAGACCACCACGATGAGTGGGGGGGAAGGAGAACCTGGGGAGGGAGAGGGGGATGGAGAAGATGTGAGCTCAGACTCCGCCCCTGACTCTGCCCCAGGCCCTGCTCCCAAGCGACCCCGGTTAGGTGGTGCCGGAAGCAGTGTAGGCACAGGGGGAGGTGGCACTGGTGGGGCAGGTGGGGGCGCCGGATCTGAAGACTCTGGTGATCGAGGTGGGACTCTGGGAGGAGGAACCCTGGGCCCTCCAAGCCCTCCGGGGGCTCCCAGTCCCCCGGAGCCAGGTGGAGAAATCGAGCTTGTGTTCCGGCCCCACCCCCTGCTCGTGGAGAAGGGAGAATACTGCCAGACTAGGTGAGGAGCCCTGCCTTGCCCAGGTCACCATAGATACAGATTTCCATCAGAAGTACGCTTTGCCCAAACCCAAAAAGAAATTCACCCAAGGCCCTGTGGGAAAATCCCTTACCTCTCTTCCCCATCTGAGGCTTCCCGTGCCCTGAACTTGCCCTCTCCCCACTCCAGGTACGTGAAGACAACTGGGAACGCCACCGTGGACCATCTCTCCAAGTACTTGGCCTTGCGTATTGCCCTTGAGCGAAGGCAGCAGCAAGAGGCGGGAGAACCAGGAGGGCCTGGAGGGGGCGCCTCTGACTCCGCGGGACCTGACGGGGGTGGGGGCGAGGGTGGGGGGGCCGGAGGAGGCGACGGTCCTGAAGCGCCAGCTCTGCCTAGC